TGTATTTATTTATTTATTTATAAGACTTGTATGGTTGCCTATCTTAAAGCACAACTCTGGGTGGCTCACAGCAACAATTAACCACAGAACCATCAAAACATAAAACAAAACCCCAAACCCATTCCCAACCCCAGACACCTTCACTGTACCCCAGTACCTGGATAAAAAGCCAGGACTTGATGGTCTTCCAGGAGGCTAAGATGGTGGGGGCCTGCCAGTTCACCAGGGGGAAGGTGTTCCACAAGGTAGGATAACCAGAGAAAAGCCATGCTTCCAAGGTCCCACCAGATGGCAAGATTTCAGGGAAGGGACCTGGAGTGTGCCTACCCTATCTGATCTGGTAGGATGGGCAGATACTCTCAGGGAGAGGTGGTCCTGCAAATAACCTGGTCCTGTGCCATGTAGGGCTTGAAAGGTGATAATCGGCACCTTGAACTGCACCCCGAAGGAAACCGGGAGCCAGTGCAGCTTGTGCAACAGAGGTGTAGCATGGGCAAATCTAGATGCACCCAGCACTGTGCATGCTGCTGCATTCTGGAGTGAACTGGAGTAGAAAAGAAACATCTATATTTACACAATGATTAAGTGAAACACAATTTACTGAATTAATATAGTGTTCTGAGTTGGCACGATGCTCTAACCCATAAACTAATCACATGGGCTAGGTTTGCATCAGCTAAATATGACTAATTAGTCTATTGTCCAGGATGCCATGCAGCTCAGCCAAAGAAACATTAAATGAGATTCTCTCCTTCTCCACCACCATCAGAAAAGATGACTTTCCTGCCAAGAGGTCCCCACCTCTCCTTTCCTCCCTATGGTAATACCTCCCCTGAGCTTTGTAAAAGAGCTACAAACCAGAGAAGGCAGAATCTACTGCTACCTTGTTTTGCTGTCCCTCTCTGTGGTATCAGACCAGAAAGAATTAGACTGAGAATGCTTCCTGCATACCAGAGACCAGAAGACACCATTGTTTGTTGACTCCTTTTGGGCAACTGATCATAGGAAAGACAACTGCCTCTTTTTTTCCTCTCTCTCTGACTCCTCTGGGCTCTTCCTTAAAGTGGTCGCATGATAGGAATTGGGCCCCAATAGTTCAGTCCTCTGAGGAGCAGAAAGGTTGCCCACAAAGATCTTTGTTTCCTTGAAATAGATCATGCACATGTTTTCAGAAGAGCTGCATGTGACTCACTGTGTTTTCTCTTTGGACCAAAGTATTCCCTTGACTAACTTCTTTATGGAGCAGACAGGGTTACTGGGCTAAGGTTACTGGGCAAATGTCTACTTGACTCAGCCATTTCCTAATGAGCATGATGGTGGTAGTAAATTCCACATGTTTCTCATGTCTGTGTGGAAACCTGAGTGTTAATGGTGTGGGATTTGGGAGTGCTCTGTGTTATGAAGTATTATGCCCCCTGTTTGGAACAGACAAAAACAAGAGTGGAATATTAATAGCAGGTGAAAAAGGCACTATGAAACTAGCTGCTTTCAAGCAGGCATGAATGTAGCATGTAAAAGTAGTGGAATGAATTATGTTAATGTTGTGGGATGGAAGCTTTGATCAGCCTTGCAAAAAAGAGTTCCTATGCAGATCTTTGGAGAAAGGGGGAACTGAGATCCTCAAACTAATAGATATTATTCTTCAAGTTACCATGAAAGTATCTGAATATGGAAAGTTGGTCAGTTATCAGGTCTGCAACTGGTTGCAGGAGACAAATTTGGGAGACCCGGTTCCTAAATTTCATGGTAGACTGTGTGTACCCTATTTCTTTCTCTCTGTACACTTGCATTTGTGCAGGCATGTATAAAATGAATATTTATGTGTGTATGCCATAAATCGATGAGTTAAATAAAATGAGATTGTCATATATATTGAATTATTCATTGTGTATAGCCTGGATTGAAATTATTCCTTTGGCAAGTAAATATTTGCCTCCTAGCTCTCCTGCTGTGGGATTGTGGTTTCTGAGTTTAGGAAAGGCATTTTTACTTCCAAACCTGAATGGTGAAGTAAACCCAGAAGTTATCCCTAAAGTCTTTTTTAATTGTTGATTCATACAGCATTGGAAGTAACTGTAAACATGGTAGCCTCTTCAACTTCATATACTTCCAACTTTTTTAGGTAAGTGGAGTTTCTGAGTTTAGGAAAGGCATTTTTACTTCCAAACCTGAATGGTGAAGTAAACCCAGAAGTTATCCCTAAAGTCTTTTTTAATTGTTGATTCATACAGCATTGGAAGTAACTGTAAACATGGTAGCCTCTTCAACTTCATATACTTCCAACTTTTTTAGGTAAGTGGAGCCTAATGGTTATGAATGTGATTGGAGGAAAGAGTTCTGCATATACAAAACAGGACCTTGGCCAGGCTCCTGACTAAAGTTGGCAATTAAGCCCTGGACGCTCACTGAGTCTAAAAAGTTAATACCTATCGTAAGAACATTGATTAATCCTCTAATGCAACGAAAAGGGGGTAATATGTGGTCCAAATCAATTGCTTATTGCAATTTTTACAGAGCACTGTTCCTGAATAGTTGCAAAAAGACTCTAAGTGCCTTTTGGTCAGAAACATTTGCCTACTAGTAGCAAAGGGGAATAAAAAAGTAATTATTACTTGATTCTTTCCGCAAGGGAACCTGGGAACAGAGGTGCTCTCTTGGCATTCAGTGATAGGATGGTCCAACAATTGATCAAGAAAATTGGGCACCAGACAGTGCTAATGGATCTGATTAAAACATGCAAAGAATGGACGGGGGGCTGGCCCTTCTCTCTGAACAGCTCTCCCCTGAGACACTAGGAGCAACTAGTGGGTAAGCCTCTTTTAAAAAGTAGCTGAAATAATGGCACTCTTCTGGGTTGTAATGCTCATTCATTTGCACTCACAGAGTGCTCCTAAAGCCATACATTTGAAAGCTTAGTGAAACATGTAATGAATATTCTTTGCTTGATGTACTTGAATGCAGAAAAAAAAGTTTTTAAAAGCTCTCTGAGTTTATAAGGCACTTTAGAAATGTTAGTTTAATCATGCTTTGTCATTGTTGTTGGAGAATTACTGTGGGTAATTCCCACTTTAATTGACTCCCAGCACATTTCCGGCCAATTCCTATATCCAGATCAGAGCACACACACATGCCACTCAATACAGCTAGCAAATTATCTATATATCTACATCTACATCTA